CTGGAACCCTGGGCATAGTGTCTGTGAAGCTCTCACTTGCCCTCCTGGTCTTAACTCTGTTTTTTTACCTTCTTTTTGGACCACATCTGGTGGTGGTCAGTGCTTACTTCTGGCTGTATGCTCAGGGATCAGTCCTGGTGAGCTTTGAGGACCACATGGGGTACCAGGGATAGAACCCAGGCCAGCCTCGTGCAAGGCAAGTGCCCTACCTATTGTACAGTTGCCCCAGCCCCTTGTCTTATCTCTTGAGTCAGAACACCTGCCCTGTTTACTCATCTAGCATTCCAGACCTCATAATGGAACTGAAAACCCACCTTGATATTATCTCCTGTGGGATTTTGCTGTAGCTATTCTTCTACTGCTTTTACTAATTTAGAGATGGGAGCTTCTAACTTTTTAAGCATATAGTCATTTTTCAAAAGCAGTTTTATTCTCAAAGATTAATTAATTTAGGCATGATTGTGCTGGTATTTTAACCAGGTCAAGAATTATCTTATTTATCTGCTTTTTGGGCACCTGCATTTCTGGAAGATTTAGAGTAAGACGAATGTCCAGTCTTTCCTTGAAATTCCATAAGGACAGAGGACTGCAGTTCAGCTGCTCTTCCAGTTTGAAATCTCTGAGTCATAGTAACTCAGACTGATCCTGTGATCTTGAGGTGTTTTCTGTATCATCAGAAAAAGCTTATATCTGCTGCACTATAGTCTAGAATCAAGTGCACATTATTTAGTTACAATTATTAGTCAGTGGTTTATTATCAGAACAGTTTGTTTCTTGGTCTTGCCACGTTGGTTTATTATTTAACCACGTTAATCAGTAACATGTTACTCATATTAATATTAAAATATGAGCTTTGTAATCTAATGAAATATCTTGTATTATATAATTCTTTTAGAGTTTAAATATGAGAAGGAAGCTTGGAGTGTTAGAGACTGTGTGCCATGCCAGTCTAGAACAGAAAAAATTGTATCATTATGACTTGCTGCAGTGCATTGAATTATGACCAATTTGGTTAAAACATGTTATACTTAAAAATTAGTTATTAAATATACCACATTCATAAATAACAAAGTAACGTGTCATATGAACAAGAGCTGTCACTATCACTATCACTATCACCCCGTTGCTTTTTCAGTTCGCTCGAGCGGACCCAGTAACGTCTCCATCCATCCCTGTCACGTGCAAGTGTAGTCCGATTACATATTGGGGCCTCCTTCAGGGTCAGGGGAATGAGGACCATTCATTGTTACTGTTTTTGACATATCGAGTACGCCATGGGTAGCTTGTCAGGCTCTGCCATGCGGGCGGGATACTCTCGGTAGCTTGCTGGACTCTCCGAGATGGATGGAGGCTTTTGGGGCAGCCTCTAATCACCTTTATAGGTGTTCCTAGTCAGGCATATAGGCGGTATGATACTCTCAGTAGCCCGCTGGGTTCTCTGAGAGTGAGAACAAGAGCTGGAAAGGGGAAAATGAAGCTGAATTTTGATTTGAAGTAGCACTCAGCTGTGGGAAAGCGGCAAGGGTATTTATATACTCACTGATAGTATTTTATAAAATATTCCTTGGAAAACTTCAGATTGGCCATATCCAATTCTTATGTTATCTGAAAACAGTGCATCCTAAAATAAAAGCCAGCATTAGGTACTATTATTTATCCATAATTGGCATATGAAAAAAAGACGCTTGGTGAGAGATTAATTTGTTGCTGGCCAGATTCCTTGGAATGGGTGAACATATAGTTCTAGTCTGGACAACTTAATAATTTTATAATAATTCTTAATAATTCAGTACCCTTTACCACTGTACAGGATCTTTTTCCTCTTTCTTTAACCTCTCAAGTCTTGATCAGAGCAGTTTATGGCTTATGGTACTACTATTTCTAGAAACTTCTGTGCTATGTGGGAGAAGTTAAGTGTAGAGATCCTGGCACTAGGAGTTCTCAGAATGCGAGAACAGGCAAGGATGGGGCAAGGGGATGTTGGAGTGGGATTATATGAATGCATTACGGTTCACTTAGCTTATTAAAAGTTATCAGTTTTCAGTGTTTCATCAACAGCCTTTGATGTTTGATGGAATATTTGAAAGTAAATCTCAGCATAAAATTTTGTTTAAATGCTATAGTATTTGTAGTTAAATGTATAACACTTTTCCCCAAAAATCTATCCTATTCATATTATTACCAACAAAAGTAATAAAATTCTTAATTTTGATGCAGTTCCTATTTCATGTGAAACTTTTTTTGAATTGTCTTAAAAATCATTATCTCCAGGTGATTGATTTCACTTTCCTTAGCAATTTAAGCCTTGCCTCATACTATAAAATGATGCAGGGAATCTGGTCTTTGTGCTTGTGCAATGCAGCTTCTGGTCATCTCCTGCATGCCTGTGCATAAAAAAGGAATTCTCAGGTCCTTTATTTCCACACTGGATTGTGTCCCATAAAAAAGAGTTTACTATTCCAACCTGACTTGTTAGTCCACATTTGGCTTTTAAACATTTATGAGAATATTTACCTATTGTCCCTTCTTATGATGATTCCATCGTTCTTGTAAGTTCTGAGAAAGTGACATTGTCAAAGTGGCTTGCCTCTCCCTGGAGGGTCTTGGTTTGCTTTGGATTTTGTTTTAATTTCTTGCCTTTTATCATTGCTCTGATGGGCTCAAGAAAAGTTGAAAATTTAGAGATTAGATAGTTTTTCCAGGTTTTTAGTGAAGGGAAGTAGAATGACACCCCGAAATATCCCACTAGTACAAGGGTTATCTTTAATTGATTATTGAGAAAGTGCAGCAGAAAAAGAAACTCTGAAAACCAAACAGAAGTTAGTCTTCTGTCAGGAAAATTTATATTCTTCACTATACTAACACAAGGAGGATGACCTAATCACTAGAAAATGTAATCGATGTAGAAATTATCAACTTAAATCTTTATAATAGGAGTTGGAATGATGGTACATATGGTAGGGTGTTTGCCTTGAATGTATTTGATCCGAATTCGATCCTTGACACCACATATGATCCTCTGAGCTTCTCTAGGAGTAAGCCCTGAGTGCTGCTGGGTGTGGCCCCCAAACAAAAAACCATCAAAAAAATCTTTATAACAATCTTACACTTATTCAGTCATCTTTTCTTGCTAGCCTCTTAATACTGAGCTTCCTTCCCCTGGAAACCTTTCTCTTGTTTTCATCTTGAAATAGAATTTAAGGTGGTAAAGGTGGTAATTCGATTATTTTATAAAAATTACTCAGTTTTCCTACATCTTTCCCATTATACAGGAGATGGACTTCTTTTCTTCTCCTGTTAATATCTTGATACAGTGAATTCTTAGCTATGAACCTAGAAGGGTATAGGGCAAGTTACTTTTTCATCTTCACAATAGCTAGTTATGACATTCATTGACTCTGTCCTATGTCCTAAATGGAAGTAGAAGTCTGACTTTCCTGTTTTTAAAGCATTGTAACACTGTCCTCCCGTTGATCACCGAGTTGCTCAAGCGGGCCCAGTAACATTGTGAGACTTGTTGTTACTGTGTTTGGCATATCGAATACATCACAGGGAGCTTACCAGACTTTACCATGTGGGCGAGATACTCTTGGTAAGTTGCCGGGCTCTCCGAGAGGGACAGAGGAATCGAACACCGGTCAGCCTGGTTGGCCACGTGCGAGGAAAATGCCCTACCTGCTGTGCTATCGCTCCAGCCCTGTTTCTAAAATAGAAAAAAAAAATAGAAAAAAATCCCCCACCCCAAACCATGCCCCAAATAAATTCCTTTATGCTCCACCCAGAATTAATTCCTAATCTAACTTACATTTTAAGTAACACAATCTGGAGTTTCTGATTAGTGCCATGGAGGTACTCTGCATGGTAAGACCCATGTCCCCTCCCCCTGGGGAGAGATGGCTTTATCTGTTTACTAAAATAAGTTTTTTCTTCTGCTAATCATATTACTAGTTCTATCGTTGACTATATAAGCATTTCTTTTTAAATTTTTTTTCTTTTTGGGTCAACCCAGCAATGCTCAGGGGTTACTCCTGGCTCTGCACTCAGGAATTATCTCCTGGCAGTGCTTGGGGACCATATGGGATGCCAGGGATCGAACCCCGGTCGGCCGTGTGCAAGGTAAACTCCCTACCCACTGCTATCGCTCCGCCCCCTATATAAGCATTTCTTGTTTTATCTCTCCCTGTAGCCCATTTCTGCTTGCTGGGCGGGATGCTGTCTCATTGAGGAATCATTTAAGAGAGCCAGTTGAATTTTCTACTCCTCCCCCTCGCCCCCGCCTATTCCCTTCTCTTTTCTTTTTTGTGTTGTGATGGGGGGTAGTGGGGTGGTGGTGCAGGGGATGGCACATTGGTTGCAGTACTGAGGAGCACACACTTGATGAGCCAGAGACCAGACTCATACATACTCTCACTTATATGTGGTATTTAGAATAGCTGGATAAGGAAATTCAGGGGTTTATATGGCGGATGCCTTGATCACCCTTGTCCCTGGAGTATATGGAGGAGAAAGGAAAAATTGGGAGGCGTCATGAGGAGAAGAGACAGATGGGAAGTAGTGGGGGAAAGACTAGGGGCAGAGGTCAAGGGGACTCTGGTACATCAGTGGTGTAGGGGAAGGGTATAGTCAAATATCCAAACCACAGAGTCAACAGCACTGAAATCACGAGAACCAGACTTATCATGAGAACCAGACTTTGACAACCAAACTTAAAAAGGTGCCTGTCAAGATACGTTCTGGGTATAGGGTGAGGGCACAAGAGAGGGGACCTGGAAACACCGGTGGCAGGAAGTTGACACTGCTGGTAGGATTGATGCTGGAACACCATGTCCAAAACTCAGCTCTGAATAACTTTGTAATTCACTGTGCTTTAATAAAATAATAATGATAATGATAATGATAATAATAAAAGCCCCTCTCACAAATAAAGGCAGGTACCCCAACAATGAACCACTGATTTTTTAAAAATGTAATTATATTTTATTTGATTTATATTTTAATAGTTTGGTGGCAGCAGTGATATCTCAAGGAACCATCTAGTCACAGTTGTGAACGGGGAGGAATACAGACATTGGAGCAGAGAATCTGGTTGAGTTCTCTTTCTTTCTTCCCAAGTCCTGAGGAAGACCTTAGGTAAGTTCTTTTCAGTTCAAGCTGAGTCTGACATTTTGCTTCAAATTTTTGATACATTTTGCTTTTCTGTACAGAGCTTAGCAGGTACGTTTGTAGTCCTTTAGTTTTCAATTCCATGTTGGAGGTCTTTTTCCTCTTCAGTTATTAAAATTACTGGTAATTGCCATTCTGGTAATTGCTGAAGATACTGGCTGAAGTTAGACTAGACCCAGCTTTTTTTTTTTTTGGTAGTTCTATTTTATATTTTATGTTTTTTCATATATGTATTTATTAGTGAAACACCATGAGGTACAGTTGTAGACTTACAAACTTTTATGCTTGGGTTTCAGTTATACAATGATCAAGTACCCATCCCTCTACCAGTGCCCATTTTCCACCACCAATGAACCCAGTAGCCCCCCACTCCCCCTATCCCCTCACCCTGCTCCACCTCTGTGGCAGGGCATTCCCTTTGCTCTCTCTTTCCTTTAGGGTGTTGTAGTTTTCAATAGAAGTATTGAGTGGCCATTGTGTTCGGTCTGTAGTCTACTTCCAGCACGCATCTTGCATCCCAAGTGAGTCCTCCAAATACTCTTTACTTGGTGTTCCCTTCTCTATCTGAGCTGCCTTTCCCCCCAGCATGTGCTGCTGGCTTCCAAGCCGTGGAGCAGACCTCCTGGTACTTATCTCAGCTATTCTTGGGTGTTCGTCTCCCATTCTGTTACTTTATATTTCTCAGATGAGTGCAGTCTTTCTGTGTCTGTCCCTCTCTTTCTGACTCATTTCATTTAGCAAGATACTTTCCATGTAGAACCACTTGTTTGCAAATTTCATGACTCAACTCTATAACTTTGTAATTCACTGTGCTTTAATAAAAGGTTAATGATGGCGATAATAATAATAATATAATAATAATAATAAAAAAGTGCCCCTCACAAATAAAGGCAGGTACCCCAACACTGAACCACTGCAAATCTCATGCAAATTTCATCATTTCTAATAGCTGCATAGTATTCCATTGTGTAGATGTACCACAGTTTCTTTAACCAGTCATCTGTTCTTGGGCACTCAGTTTTTTTTCCAGATTTTGGCTATTGTGAACAGTGCAGCAGTAAACATACAAGTGCAGATGTCATTTCAACTATACTTTTTTGCCTCTCTGGGATATATTCCCAGGAGTGGTATTGCTGGGTCAAGTGGGAGCTCAAGTTCTAATGTTTTGAGAATTGTCCATACTGTTTTCCAAAAGGGCTGAACCACTCGGCATTCCCACCAGCAGTGAAGGAGACCCAACTTTAAAACTGAATTCTTGGGGACAGGTAGCTAGCTCAAAGAGCTAAAGTGCATGCCTGGTCTGCACAAAATCCTGAGTTTGATTCTGGTACCACGTGGCCACTCAAATGTCACAGAAGTGACCCTTCATCTTCAGTACTGCTGGCCAACATGTCACTACTAGGAGTGACTCCCAAACCCCCAAACACTGCTGGGAGGCCCAGGAGGTAATTGGGTGTAGGGATAGTCAGGTGTAATGACACTGAGTTCCTGGTTGTGTGTCAGTCTATGGCTGTTTGCCTGGATTGGGTTGAGTCCTGACTAGACTAAATTAAATTTAAGGTTGTCGAGTATTCATTAGGATTGGATTGGTCCAATTTTGGTAGTACTAACATATCAAACTCCAACTCTTGGTTTTCTTCCATGTTGTACATGAGAACTACAGGTGAGAACTGCAGTTCTCCATTGTTTGTAATTAGCCCACTGACCCCATTCTTTGAGGTTTGCTGCTTCAGTCCTGTCCCCATTACCTAGTTGATTACTGCTGGGTTCCACAGTTTTATTCTGGATACGGCTGTTGTAAGTGCTAATAAGATAAAGACAATTACTAAGAGAAAATCTTCCAAGTGAAAGAGTGTAAGTAGAAAATAGATGTTAGCCAGCCTTGATGAAAATCAGATGTCTGGCTCAAAGAAATGGATTAAGGCGTTAAAGCATTTGCTGTTTATGCTGCTGGTTAATCCCTGCACCACATACGGTCCCCTGAGCACTATCAACTGTGATCCCTTATCACAGACCCAGTAATAAACCTAGAGTACCACTTCAGGTGGTGCAAAAATCAAATCAAAATAAAAAATATTTGGACCAGAGAGATGGTACCATGAGTCAGTGGGTAAGGCACTTACCTTGTATGCATGTAGCCTGGGTTCATCCCTGGTACAGCGTACGTTCTCCCAAACACTGTCAGGAGTGATACTTGAACACAGCCAGGAGTAAGCCCTGAGCACAATTGGATGTGTTTCCTGTACCCCACACTCCCACACAGTGGATTCTGTATATGTAAATAGCTGCGCTTGCCTGATATTTATGAACTATAGTTCTCTAGGCTGCACTGATCTAGGAAAATGGTGAGATTTTGAGTATATGGGAACACTGTAGTTAAGCTTAATAACTTATTTAAGAACACTTGAAAGAGTTTCTATAAAGATTAAAGGTATAAGAAGTACTTAAGACAAAAGATGACAGGACTTACATGACTTGCACTATTTTCCCTTGTCTTCTCCTCCCACTCTCAATCCCCTCCCCCCGGGTTTTATGCTACTCTCTCTTTTCATTCTATAGAGATTATGTGACCAAACAAAACCTGTCACTTTAGTAGCTTTATAAACATGCCTATAAGGGCCCCTTCCATGGTCACAGGACTCAGGGATTTTTCTGATAAATTGGAACCTGTAGTTCCTTTAAATACTTAAGGGGAAACTAAAATTAAAACAGTAGAAAACCTTGCCAAATTCTGGTAGATAGCTGATCCATACCCTCTACTTTCAGCTTCTCTTGGAGCCAGTATGTAAGATCCTGGGAAAATTGATAGGAAGCACTCTTTGGATCCAGTTTTTTTTTTTTTAAGGATTTTTAAAATTTGCTCTTTCCTTCCCAGATTCAGATCTGTTACTATTCCTTAGCACTCCTTCCTCATTTTCTTATCTGTGTCTTGAGAACTTGGTTTGCTAATTGTCAGATTTGGGCTTCAGAATATAGCCAGATAAAAATATGAGTAGAATTTCATTTGCAGCTAGGGCCTGTTGCCCAGATTGCATAAGTATTTAATTCTTCCTTTGGGCTATCATCAGGAATGACTCTTAATCTCGAGAGTTTCTTTTGCACCCTCTTTGGGAATGCATCTTGAGTTCAAGGGCCATTTAATGGCATTAGAAATATTTATTGTTTATCTCAGCTAAAATAAGATACTAGCTTCTTCTTGGTTAAATACATCTAGAGATAAAGGAAAACATTCCAGTTGGTCATTAATGTTGGTCTTTTGACTTTAAGTGGTAAGTCCTTGTTGAAGAATTAAAACAGCTGTCTTCATTTTAATTATTTAATTTTTACAAGACCAGAATTTTTATTTATAGGCTCTAGAAACAGTTTACAGTCCACACAGCCATACCATCCTGGAACCATAGCTATTCATCTCAAATGCTTGTCTATGGTGCAGACAATTCAAAGTCCTTTAGGAATTTGAATATTTTTCTTAACATAAAATTTATTTTGCAGCTGGCCAGCCCGTTCAATCCCTGGCATCTCATATGGTCCCCTGAGAACTGCCAGGAGTAATTCCTGCGTGCAGAGCCAAGAGTAAACCCTGAGCACTGCCAGGTGTGGCCCCAGAACAAAAAGAAAACAAAGCAAACCCAACCAGACAAACAACCACCTCCCTCCCCCAAATACAGGGAATCATTTCAAAATTGGACTAATGAAAAGTTTTATGTGTCTTTTAAAATTGTTAATGTTAAAACTATATTTGGGGAGGGTGATGGCTCAGTGGCGAGAGAGCCCGCCTTGCACGTAAGCATGAGGCTGTGAGCCACGTCTCCTGTGCTGCCACACAGACCAAGCATAATCCTGGCAGCTCGTTGTTCCTGGTAGCTCTGCTGCTGGTGATCGCTTCACTACAAATGATTTGTGGTCACATTGCAGCCAGGTATATACAAGCACTTCAAGGAAAAGATAAGACTTCTGATGAGCACTGCAGAGGAAAAGATGTGGGAGCACAGGGCCCAGGACTGTTTCCCCTGGTGAGCATCATGACCATAATGGGCATGAGTACCACAACTAGATTGTGACGACCCCCCCCCCCCCATTCATCACAGTATCAGCCAGTGGAAGGGAACAGGGGAAAGATCTCTGTACAGGGTCTGGAGCAATAGCACAGCGGGTTCAAGTCTCAGCATCCCATATGGTCCCCCAAGCACCGCTAGGAGTAATTCCTGAGTGCAGCGCTAGGAGGAACCCCTGAGCATCACTGGGTGTGACCCAAAAAGCCAAAAAAAAAAAAAAAAGCCTCTGTACATTGTATGTGACCGCATGTGTATTTTCTATGCATAATATTTTTTTATTTTACCTCCAGATGGTAGGATTAGTCAGTCACTGTCACTGTCCTGTCACTGTCCTCCCATTGTTCATTGATTTGCTCGAGCGGGCCCAGTAACGTCTCCATTGGAGACTTTGTTGTTACTGTGTCTGGCATATGGAATACGTCACGGAGAGCTTGCCAGGCTGTGCCGTGCGGGCGAGATACTCCGGTAGCTTGCTGGGCTCTCCGAGAGGGGTGGAGGAATCGAACTCGAGTGGGCCATGTTGACTGCGTGCAAGGTAAATGCCCTACCGCTGTGTTGTCCCTCCAGCCCCAGGGTTAGTCAGTATAAATTTAATTTCCTAAAACTTTCCGCTTTTATGAAAATGAAGCCAAATATGAGGCCGCAGATGTGGCTCGGTGGTAGAGCGCTTGCTCTGCCTATGTGAGGTCCTGAGTTTAATCCCCAGAACTGCAAAAACAAAACAAACAAAAACCCAAACACTAAGCCAAATATTTTGAAGTTATAGTAATTATTGATCAGTGAAAACAGACTGGAAGTCTGTTTCAATAAAATCGGAGTATTTTCAGAGTTGAAGTCATGAAAATTTATTTTACCTGTGCTTATTAAAATCAAATGACCTCATATCCCTACAATTATAGAATTTGTCAGAAA